AAGTAAGTAGAGGTCCTAGAAAGGAAGTAGAGGTCCATCAGCTCCAAAAGAAAACGCCGAGCGAACGACCGACAAGGTGACGACGTGCGTGCAGAAAACCAAGCTCACAGCACCGCTGCATTAGACGCTTACTGCAAAACACAGAAGTGGAACAGCTTGTCCATTAAGTAGGTTTCTCTCCAAGCAGGTACGTCAATCCGGCGTCCCGGATTGATTTCACCAGCACACATCCAGTGTCTTCGTTGGTGCAAGACTGGATGGGCTGCTTGCACCCCCTGCTAAAAGCTCAAAACAATCCGAAGGATCCCTATGATTCCAAGGGTTACACACACACACACTGAGTGACATGCGTGCGGATCTAAATGCCACATGCCACACGCCCACCTCCTAAGGTTAACAGGACAAAAGCCGAGTAAGCAAATCTTCCAAAGCTCCAACGATCACGAAATCGACGACAGGTTGACGGCGATCGTGCAAGTTTGCAAACCTCAAAATCACCTAAACAACTTGTCCAATTAGAGGAAGAAGTGGTTACCGAACATCACACTTGATGAAGCAGGTGCACAGATTGGCGTCCCAATCTGCTTCACGGAGTGTCCACAGCTGTCTTCGTTGGCAGCAGGACTGTGGACTCCCTGCTCCCCCCCGCTAATCCAAAACTTAAACAAAAGCCAATCCGAAAGGATCCCTGTGACTCCAAGAGGTACACACACACACACACTTGACAATTTGTAGATTGAGAATGCCTAGTTGTGTCGTTTGCTAAGGTGCTATGTGATCTTCTCAATGCGCTCAACTTTCTAAATCGCCAGGGTTTGGCCCATCGAGTGACTGAGCTGTAAATTAGCTTAGCCTTGATCAGGGTGATGACCCTGCAGATATTGAAAACATTTCAGAGCCCTTGAAACCATTTTTTTTTGAAATATAGAATGAGGATGAATTAGATGTAACGTTGGTGGAAAGTACAATTCAGCAAGCATAACCAAATACCGGTGTCTGTTTGGAACATTTTGGAACCATGCCTAGAAGTACAAATTGGGGCAGATTGAGTACAGACCCACCTTGTGTGTGATGTTCTGTGACTACTCCATTGCCAGCTTGCACTGCCACATTTGATTGGTCAGACTCTCAAACCATTTTTTTTTGCAGATTTTGTTGAATGCAACCGAAGGATGTGAAGACTGAAAATATCCTTTGGGCAGAAGGCCATTGTGTTGTTGTATGATTGCACTTTGTGTGTTGCTCTCTCGGAGGCGCGTATCATTGAAATATCCTTCACAGTTTGTGTGGCTGCTGTCGCCATTCTGCAAATTCCAGGCTGCTACAAGCTTGCAGACTTTGGCACTGCAACAATGCTTGAGGCACAGCCATGGGGGCAGCCACATTTCATCGCATGGTCCCCTGTGCATTTGGGCAAGTAGCAAGTCCTTCGTTGTGTTGCACGATTGCTGACAATTAGCACATGTCACATTGCCCACATTGCTAGTGATTGCTCTCTTATGGATGTGACAAGCTGACCTCTTGCAGAAATGCATTGCGAGGCTGCCATTCCACGCACAAATGAGTGTGGAACACTTTGGCATGACAACCCAGAGTCGAAAGAGGTTGATTGAAGTTGGAAGGAATGACGAGATAGCAAGAATGTGCCGAACCTGGTACACTATTAAAAGTACAGTAGAAAGTGAGGTTTTTGTAGCATTCCATCCTTGAACAGCTGGTGATTATCCACTCACAATCCAGCAATCCTCCATGTCTCTAAAAGATCTTTTGTGCACTAAGTTCAAATATATCACACCAGTACTGCCCTTTCAAAGGTCTCTAGGAAGATGGGGCACTGGGCGGGAGTGTGGCGATGTTTGAGGATCATGGCACCAGAACTGCTTGGCCGAAGACCTCACGGGCTCAACTGTGATGTTTGGTGGGGCACAGAGAAGCGGATGCGTGGATTGCTCATGAGCAATTGCACATTGGCATGTAGTGCTGCACATCACTTTTCAGTTCTGACTTTGTTTTATTCTTTTTTGACTCATAGGGTCCTGTTTTTCTTGAGATCTAGACAATGAGGTCATTGGGAGTCGTTCTTTTTGAGGCTTGGAGGGAGAGACTTCCCCTGACCCTGGTCTGCACATTTGTTTAACGCATCAACCACTCCACAGACGCTGGATCTTCCTCGTTGCAAGTTTGAGTGGAGGTCACCTCCTTTGGGAAGCCTTTCAACTCAAAGGACCTTTGTCTGATTTATCATGCTGTCTCTTCACCTGCGGCAAGCAGCAAGATTGAAGCAGCTGCCAAGACCATCGATTCAACATCATCAGAGAGTATACATTAAACTGGAACATGCTTCAAGTGATGTGAGTTGTAAATTTGCGATTCTTCTTTTGTTTGCAGAAGAACCGCAGACTCTGTTGTCAGAGAGGAGCTTCTTGCCTACCGCAACTCCTCTGAGGTGCAGATGGGAAAAACGTCAGGGTATGATGGTCATGGGAGCCTGCCTTTCAACGGCGGCTATGCCAGCAGATTGGATTGTTGTTATATACTGTAATTGAATCCTGGCATGCTCCAAAAGGTTTCGGGTTGATGTCACGCAAAGAACGGCGCTGAAACAAAGCCACGTGGCTGACAACCAGAGCGGAGCTTTGGGGATGCCTGAGCATCAGGCAGCCTTCCCCAGCAGCTTTTGGCCGTTCCTTTGTGCAGGCGGAAGCTTTTGGCTTTAGGAACAAGCAGGCTGCTAGGAGCAAAGGGCATCGCTACTAGGAGCAAGGACGCTACTAAGGGGCTCCTGGCCATACTACTAGGAGCAATGTTCGCTACTAGGAAAACCTTTCCAGACAGGAAGCTGTGACAGGACCAGTCTCCTCACCGGCAAAGACAGGGGGTAAGGCCTGGAGAGATGAAGGAGCAACCTACATCTTTCTCGGTTCTGGTGGGAGAAGCCTCTTTTATGGAGTTTGTTGCATTTTAAAGACAGAAACAAAGAGTTGGCAAGCTTGTTACAGTTCTTCCTCCAAAAGTGGTTTCAAAGAGCGCATCATTGCTAGACGCTGCCACGACTCAAAAGTGGTCCTGAGCTTGCCAGGCCCGAAGCTCAATGTTATCAAGCACAAGTTTACATCTTACCAAACAAAAACAGCACAATCAAGTCAACTAAGTCACATTCCATTTTTTTGGGTAGCCAGGGGTAGGAACAAGATGCAGCCAGCAGGTCCAGAAGCTGGCAGCAAGGGACGCATTAGGGTGAGATTTCTTCAAGGAAGCTTCTCGCAGTCCTAGACTTTGAGGAAAGCTACTAAAAGACCATCGTAAAGAGACCGTGTTGATGCTGCTCAGGACCTCTTCACGAGGAGCTCGTCAGCACCTTGAAGAGAGGAGTGAGTTACAGTAAAAAGCATGACTTATGAGTCATGCTCAACAAGTGTTCCAAATGGTGGGCATGTCTGTTCTCTATCCTTCATGGACTACTTGCCAAGGCCCTCAGCGAACCAAGTGTCGCAGTGTCGTCAGGGATCCCAAGGCTTCGAGAGGATCACTGATCACCTTGTTACAAGTAGTGATGCCCTTTGCTCCTAATAGCAAGAATGCTCCTAGTAGTAAGGCTAGGAGCCCCTAGTAGCGTCTTTGCTCCTAGTAGCGATCATGCATGTTTGCATTGTCAACAGAGCTTTGCTGCAGCACATGGTGCTGGGCCATCTGAGACTTTGCCACCTCTTCTCATCTCCAAAGAGGACCTGTGCCAGAGAGAGCTGAGTCTGACGAGTCCAAGAGTCAAGAAAGAATGATTCCCGCCAGCCTACTGCTTTCTTGAATCTGCTTTTTGCATCCTTGTGCTTAGTCAGGACTGACTTCATTTGTTCAGAATTATTTTATATAAGCCTGAGCTGGGGAAGTCCTGCAGCGCTGCAACCACGATGCTTGTATTCCAGATGTTTTACTGTAATTCTGTTACAATCTTCCAACACCTCACTTTGGAGGCGGAAGTGGAGCCTGACAGTCACGACCTTGTCATGAAACGCCTTTTTTGTTGCTCAGAGCAAAGCTTCAAGCCTAAATGAGGTCCAACGTCGCAATCACCTGGATGTGAGGAGACGGGCTTCCCGGGTGACCAGGATTATTTACCGATTTTTTCCAATTTTTCCTTTTTGAGGGGGGATGCCGTATCGGGTAGCTTGCAAGTAGTAGCTGTAGCTATATAGTAGCTAGTAGCTAGTAGCAAGTAAGCTACGAAGCCACTGAGTACGTAGCTACCAACTACCGGACGCAGGGAAGCTCCCCCTAGCTGCACTGGCCCAAAGTCATTCAGCAGCTTACGCGCCGGCACGCGCCGCGGCCTTGCCACCAGCTGACTGTGCTGGGGTGAGGCGTCCATAGAGCGGGCTCCCATTGGGGTGCGGAGTGCCATGGAGAACAAGGAGTTGATGAGAGAGGATGGTTCGTGGTCGAAAGCTGGCTTTGTTGACTGGGCGACTATGGGTATGCCTGAGACCCTTGGACCAACTATTCGAGGGGCGTTGATGGCCATTGCTGCCACAGGTGAATGCTGTGGGGAAGATGAGGAATGGATCTTGTTTGGAAAGGTCACTGACGGGCTAGATAGGTCTCCTCCCTCAGTCATGGTGCGCCGAACCAACATGATGATGAACTTTGTTGACCCCGTGGATGACCGGTCGACCTTTGAGCTTTCTTGTGAAGTGGAGCACCCCAAAGTTGATCTTGCCGCAGGAGCCAGGGTTGGAGTGCAAGTTGATGCTTTGCTTCTATGGAACCTTCCACTTCATCACCGAGGCATGCCATGGAATGTCACTCATTTGTTTTCCGGTGCGTATGAAGGATGCATTATATCTCCTTCGCGTGGCTTCGTTAGTGTGGTGCTGATTTGCATTGGCTCATCAGGTGGATTCCCATGCTGCCTCCGGGCTTGGGTTCTGCGAATATGTTGCTGGGCTGATCTTTTCAGTTTTTCCCTGGGTATTCCGTAGCGGGCATTCCTGCTCCACTGGGGTGGGTGTGGGAACTCCTGTCACTATCGGTGGTGGCCTTTGGCCTTTTCTGCATAGCATGGGGTAAAACTTCCACTCCTCGTGAAGTCATGGTGTGGCGCCTCGCCTGGTTAATGAGTTGGGAGATGTCCAACATTGAGCTTGTTGTGGCGGGGTTGGCTGCCCGATATTTGTTGTTCTACTGTCATCTGCGATGCCGTACTTCCACAATTTTGTGAAGAAGGGGTTCTCGAATTCAGAATGGTACTCAATATGGTAGATTCACTCTGCGCAATCCGATTGAGTGGTTTGAACCGAACCACTACTCTTGTGCCTGAATGTTCTATTTGTTGTTGACTTCTGGTTTACTGACCATCGACGCGGAAGCTCGTTGGTTGCCGTTGACCTTGTCGTGCCGGCTTGAGAGAAAAAAGGAAGCTCCCCTTGCCTGAAGGCGGAGGTGAGTTTCCTTGAAGAAGCGCTCGCATTTTTCATTTTGATTCCTAGATTTTTCGGGATTGCTGAGATTGTGTTGTTGTTCTATCTCAACACCAAGGAGGGATCAGTTCAGAGCCTCGGCCTCGGCTTTGCAGGATCCATTTCTTCAGCAGCGCTTTGCGTTCCTCCGAAAGCGCCTTCAGTACCGGTGGTGCTACAGCGAGGAATGGAGTGCTGCCAATGCTGATAGTAGTGACGCTTGTGAAGTTTTGGAGAGATCAAAGCCTCCAAGGCGAAGCCTACCTTGTTTGTGCCAGCTTCACATCGAGAACTCAAGAAGTGAAAAAGACGACATGAAGCCGGAGATCGATCCTGTCAGGAGCTCCGAAGCCTGATCTTTGAGGATATGCTGCATCACCTACAAGTTTGAACCAATATGTGCCTGAAATGTAGACATGCAGCTGTTAGACTTCTTCCAGTTGTTTGATTATATAAATGGACTCTTTCGATCTCTACTTACAGTAACTGCGTCTTACGACATGCCAAACTTGAATGCTTCCTCAAAATCTAGGAACCAAATCATTAAGCCTTAGCGTGCGTCCAAGATACTGGTATCTTCTTGTTCATTTAACAGCTTACCTCTTACGACTTCCTTCCTTAGCTACTTGTAAGCTACTAGCTATGGCCGCCTACGGCCTACCCTCTTTGAAGAAAACATATCTTCTATGTTCCATGTTCTACTTTTCTATTGGTCTTGAACATTGCCAGGCGAGAAGAACCTGAGCTGCGTCCAATCGCCTTGGAGCTGTGGCAGATGCTGCAGACCAGCCGCTTTGAGACGTTGGCGCAGCAGGCAGAGGCCATGAAGCAACAAGCTGCGCAGCAAGTTTGTATGCAAGCATTGCAAGTAGAGAGACCTTGCTCTTTTGTGTAAGGAGAGAAGCTACGCACGGAACATACACGTAGCCAACATAAAAAGCCTTGTGCAGGCAGTTGAACCTGCTGCGGAGGGAAACACGAAGGAGGAACTGCTCAGGCTTTACTTTCTGAATCTTTCAAAAAGAATGTCAACCAGAACCGATCACAACAATTCCTTCACTGTATTTTCAAGCCTTGTTGATGTTCAACTTGCATGTTTGGACTTACTTAATAGATTCTGCATAGTGTGCCTGCTTAATCTGCCGGTTTTAACTGGCCGTCAAATCACGATGCAGGTCCGTGTGCCCAACCAACATGCTGCGGGCCATGAATTTGGCACCGACGCAAGGAGGTGCGAACCTTGGTTCCTGAGATTTCCAGAGTCACGAACCAGTCTCCAGTCATTATCACAAATCAGTCGTATGGGAAAGCAAAGCTGACCAGCAAACACTTTTGTTCAGTACTTCTCAACAACCATGGAAGCAATTTTGATGGTCAGTCCAAGGTATGTAGTCACTTTTCAGGGTGTTATAGTACATAATTGTGTGCATAGTCAGAGGGTATAGGGGATGGGGATGACGACACCTTTGAAAGTTCTCCTTCATTAGCATGATGCTCTTGTGTTCCAATATATTGGTTCGATACAGCATGAAAAACCATCTCCTCCTTCGCCTACTATATTTGCAGCTGTTTTCCACCTGCCGCCGATCAATCAGGCTATTTATCCACTGCCTTCTCCTCAGCAGTGTACATGTTGTTAGTGGACGAAGATCAGCCACAAGCTGTCATGCGTAAACATACTGAGTGATACGGATCAGACCAATGTAGTATTCTTCACCATGCACCTTACCAAGGCCTCAACTAGCTGAGGGACGAGCTGTCCAAGCAACTTTTTCAATGACAGCGAAGACTCCAGTCGAAAGCCGTCCAAAGGCTAGGAGCAAGAACGCTACTAGGGGCTCCTGGCCGTACTACTAGGAACAAGGACGCTACTAGGGGCTCCCGGCATCGCTACTAGGAGCAAGAGAACGCTACTAGGAACCAAATCATCAGTGCGACGCTTCTTCAAGGAAGCTCCCCCCCGGCCCTCAGGCGGAGGGAGCTTCCTTGAAGAAGCGCGAGCTATCCTGCGTCCAGTTACTAGAAGCGAACTAGTCGCCCTTACTTAAGTAGGAAGGCGGGGCCTAGCGGGCCAAAAAATAAGGCCATCGAGATCAGAGTCGAATTGATCTACTTACATGTGGTATCCATGGCGTCTCTGCTGTCTTCTTGCAAGCCTGTCTGTTTGCGGGCTTTGTTAATGATTCATTTTGGGCTTCCAAATGGGATGTCCCAGTTGCTTTTGTAGCTTAGACCATTCAAGAACGGATTGAACGAATCTTGCACTCAACAAAAAGATGCTGCTCTTCAAGGAGGCAGTTGTCCGAATTCCTGCGTGATGTGATTGTCTTAGCCGCTGAGAGTCAAGTCACACAAATCAACTCGGAGAAGAGATGCTGGAAGTTCAACAGTTTTGGAATCCAAGAGGCATTGACAGCTGCATTTTTTTAGTACTAGCTTCTTGTTCCTACTAGTAAGGCACTTGTTTCTAGTAGCGTGGCACTTGTTACTAGCGTGGCAGATGTCTCAGGTATCGGCTTTTGTTTTCTTGATTGACAAGTCTGACGTGCCACAAAAACAAGCTTCTATATTCGAACCTGGACCCTTTTGCGGCCATGGCTCATCTCGTGGTTGGGTGCCAAGTCTTTGGGTTCTGATCTTCGGTTTCTCAATGAAGGGACATTTTGTAGGTTCAGGCATTGCTGTACTCTTACATTCTCAACTTTCAATTTGGCCGCGACTTCATGTTGATGGTACTTGGTTTGGGATGGTCAGGCAGCACCCAGACAAACCAGTCTTAAGTTGAGATGCGATTGTGAAGAGAAAGTCTAAGCACCAGATGAGGGCGAGAGGAGCAGTGTAGAGACAGAGAAACATTCATGCATGTTTGCAGATGTTCGCAAATGCGCTGTACAACCAGATGACTTTCCCCTCAAACCTCAGTGCCAGCACGTCACGCCAGGACAAGCAAGTTGCGGGTCGGGTGGTACTTCAACCGGCACCCACTCTTGAGTCAAGGTTGATTCCTCAGTTCGATCCAATGCGGAGCAGAAAAGCAAGAGTTCCCTCACTAGCAATCGTCCAATATTGTTTTTTGCTTGTCAAATGCAAAGACTTCAGATGAAACGCATGGCTCATATTGTAATATATTGTAATGGCTATTGGGCATCCTGATAGGAATTTGTTCCAAAGCGGGATGCCTGTGATGTCACTAGGAGTGACTTGCAGTTTATGCATTCTGACTTGGTATGGCACACTGCTTGCAAAGTGCATCAGAGATGGCACAGCCAGCTGCACTGGTACGAGACTTTAAAGATAGGGCGTCGTGTGCTAGAGTACACGCCGCCATCGAAACGATGTAACCCTGTGAACATTTTTGTGCGATTTGCCTTGACATCCCCAAACTGCTCGTGACTGCTCGTGCTTTGACATGATGCATGTGGGGTTGATTTGGTCAAAGTGAGGCCTCGAGTAAGCTACTCGTTTCACGACTTGGTGACTTGGTTTGATGATGGAGGGCAAACCCTTGATCGGTGCGACGCATCACCAAACAGAATGCAGCTTTCAGAGATTCACAGTGCATCTTTACATGTAAACATAAATGCATCTGCTGCTGTATTGGCAGCAGGCCATCGGCGCGCTTCTTTCCGAGGTGAAGCTTGAGAAATCTGAAAAGGTGGAGCTTGCACGTCAGCAGTCTGATGGTTTGGACGCCCAGTCCCCTCGCTTCAAGTCAAGCGCCCGGCAAGTTGAGGTCTAGGAGCCCCTAGTAGCTTCTTGTTCCTAGTAGTAAGGCCAGGAGCCCCTAGTAGCGCCCTTGCTCCTAGTAGCGATGCCAGGAGCCCCTAGTAGCGTTCAAGATTGTGAATGGTCAGCTTCAGTGGGCTTTAGACGATTTTGACCATGTTCGCATGTAGCACCAAGGAGACAAAAGAAGACACCCTCAGAGGCCGAGCTGGGTTTACTTGCAACACATGCGGACGTTTGGGTCGCAGGTTTTCCAAAGAAGATCGTGAGACCAGAAGTGCAAGTGCACCTTTGTGGAATCATGCCTTGTGCAAAAGTGGCGTGCCGCTTGCGGTAGTTCAGGAGCCGCTCTGGGTCGAGACCAAGCCTTAAAGCGAGTGAGGCTTGGCCAAGAGGCCATGAGGGGTTGGGCATCGGCCAGGACCCACAACAGCAGGATGACAGGATGCCAGTTATCAAGTTGTGACAATTGGGGCTTCTTTTGAGGCTTGCTTTGCAAACTTCCACAGTGCAGTCTCTTTTCTTCAGATTCTGTTTTCAACTGACTCCTTTGTGAGACTACAGCCCTGGGCGGCCATCACCGTCGCTCTCGGGCAGTCGGGCTTCATCAGTGTGGCAACCTGGGGACGTAGAGGACCAAACGATGGCTTGTGTCTTTGAGATTGATAAGGCTAGATCGGTGAAGAAAAAAGAGATGAACACAGGGTCGTGGTGAGATCTTATTATATAGCCCTTCAAATAATTGATTGGAATATACAACTTGATTTTCTTCAACCAATGCTCCCAGCATAGCTGTCAGGCTGTCAGGCATGCGTGTGCTGGTTGCTGTTTGCTGTTTGGGTGAGGAAAGCTTTACAGAAGAGTGTTTGCTCCTGAATCGTGCTTCTTTGCAGCACATTGGTTTATTCTAAGAGGTCTCATCGTCGCCCCCACCAATCTGACTGTCCTCGAGACCTGTTCCAACCGATCAGTGTCAACCTTTCTTTTGGCGCCAGAACGCGCAGGTGGGGGGCTGCGGACCGCCATTGGGCCCTGCTATATGAGCCATACATCCAAACCAACCAATACAATGGGGAAACAGTGGGAACCACCTATAAGAACTGGGTCGAACAGCCAACCAACCTGATAGCCCCTCTCCCCTTTGGGTTTGTGGGTGCTACCGAACGCGCTACTGAACGGCGCAAAGTACGCTGGGAGAGAGGCATCACGGCCAACCGTTCGACAATGTTCACAACTCCTACGGCTATCTGAGCCCCACGCAGAGAACATGGGGCTGATGGGGCTCGGCTGAAGAACATAGATTGCCGCTGTTGGCGTTTCTCAACCTGCTAGTGCCCACAGTCTACACAGCCATACATCAAAAAAACGGTTAGTGGTTTGGGGTCTGCAACGGCAGCAGTGGTTGACACAGTGCTACTTTCGGCCACTGCCCAAACGAACCTAATAAAGCAGCCCGAGAGAACGGACAGACTGACGCGTCCGCGTCCGCACGGGCCCGAAGAACAGCAATGCCGCCAGAGGCGGCAAGAGGGTAGTACCTCGACCGTCCACTTTGCGGCCCTTACTTTACATTGCTTCTAAACACTGGCTCGCGAGCCCATGGCGTCCTTTGGCACTTCACTTGGATGGTGACATTCTCTGGGATGATTCACTGGCGGCTAACCCAAACACCTTAATTGTCGTGATCGTTGGGACTGAGAGGTTGATCTGCATCGCTCGAGAGACGGACCACTTTTGTTGCCGGACCTTTTCTGCCAGTACTGGCTGAAGTGTTCCAAATAGTGCGTTTTTAACCGATTTGGCTAGCAGGGCTAGTTTCCTAATTGTCCTCGCGGTCAAAGCATGCCCGCATTTTTGATCAGGCCTTTCACCACTGGTCTTTCCCCGAGTTTCTCGAGGCCCGGCTCAGTCAACGTCCAGTGACACCTAGCAACCAACATGAGTCCCTTGCTCGAGGCCAGAGCTGAAGATCAGAGTCGAGAAAGGGAGGTGGGAAACCAGTTAAAAACAATACTGGAAGACTATGATGACTGACAAGATGACAACGACTTTGCCTTTGATAGTTGACAATCTTCTCCCTACGTCATGTGGAGAACGGTAATGCAACACCATTCATTCTGGTGGTTGAGGGTTGTGCTTCAGGATGGTTTGGTTTTTGTGTTGAAGTGCCCAATCCAAACCTCCAGCTGAGGTCCAAGAATCTTTCCTGATCTCCTTCGACAAGACGCACTCAACTTTTCACCTGAAGGAATTGGGTTTCATTTCATGTTTTTGTTGATCTCAATCAGCAATGTTTCATGTATTGATGAGTTGCCAGTGACCCACATGTGACAGGCTGGCACGTCGCATTATGCCTTTTGTGTGGACCTTTAGTTGCAAGAAGCGATGTGTTTGACCTGCCAAGTTCTTGTAAGATGGATTGAGATTTTCAACTGCCCGCCAATCATCACTAAAGTTGTACATTTTCAAAGCAAATACAACACGTGCACAACTGTCAATACATGCTGTTCATATTCTATCCGAGGACCAATACGGTGCTTTGGAACATTTGCACTATGGTGGGAAGCTAGTTTCATCGACTTGTCAGGAAGCAAGTGTGGCAAAATGGTCAAAGGGTACTTCAGATATCAAGATATTGGGGCGCATGCGCAAGGAGTTCAAAGATTTTGCAGGTAAGTTTCGATTTCTGACATGCTGGATTTTTACAATTTGGCATGCAGGTAGCCCCTTTTAGATTCTAGCAGTGCAAAAGCACCATTGAGACAGATTTCGTACGTGTGGTTAGAGTCCATTCAGTAGATGTCCTTTTCGTTTGACGAATGCTGAATCAGCTGAATCATGTGTAGCAGACTTGGTACTAAGCCCAGGCAACTGGGTCGGCATGCATGCCTTTTCCTGAGAGTGCATTTGGCACTGGTTGTTTTAGGAATTGTCGGCAAAAGTCTCTAAGCAGATGAAAGCTAATCGGTCAATCTGCGCATAAATGACATAGCTAGTAGTGGGAAACTCAAGACAGCAGCAAAATCAGAAGTGCTGAAAGATGCAGAGAGCTCTCCTCAGGCAAAAATGCTTTTCAAACGTCCCAGGGTGGGTGAAATTCCATTGGAGTGCTAGTCTACACTCTGTCATACTACAGCTTGCTGTTTGTTTTACAGCTGAGGACTTCACCTTTCTATCGGAGACTGATCCGGCCTTGACATTCGAGCCTGCACCAGTGGTATCTCCCAGATTTTGAGTGATCTCCTTGACTCGCTCAGAGGGCGGGGGGGTGTTAGCCACCAAAAAATATTACGAACTCCTTAGCGCTGTTACTACGCGAGCAATTTGAAGAGATTGTGTCGTGATTTTGGAGAGCTGTACTACGTTTTTCAGTCACACACATAATACATGTTACATATTATATATGTATAGAGTTGTTTTGTGTCCTCAAAACCGCACCTGCAGCTGATCACAATGACCAGAAGGCCTGATGCCCCATGTTGCCTTGTTGCCTCGCGTATCACTTGTCAGCAGAGCAGAAGCCAATTGGAATCGGCCAACCAACTTTGATAAAAAACCTTACCAATGCTCCTGAAACCATTGCTGTGTGCTAGGCTCTTGAAGAAATGTGCAACTGCAACTGCAACATCTTGCCTCAGAAGTCACAAACACAAGCCGTGGAGCCGCAACCACTTTGAGCCATGCACCGTCAGTGTGCTGCTGTTCCAACGTCTCTGAAGAATGCATTCGAGAACGGTGCCTTTTCAAGCATTCTAAACAGTTTGTGCAAGACTTTTGGCAAGACCAATTTGAGAACATAGATGGAGAGAAACCGGACAAGGAACTCAAAGAGTTGAAGTCTGTACCTGCAGGTTCTTTTGTGGAGCTTTTGGAGGATGTACGAGATACAGCTCAATCCTTAGTCCAACTCCTCTTCTCCGACCAACAAGCAGGAAGCTTCAGCGTCGAAGTAGTGCTGGCCCGATATGAGGTAAGACGAGTGGGAGGGCGGTTGTTCTTCCCTGAGAAAGGGGAAGACAACGAGGCAACTCTTTCTGTACCACACGCTCAGGGGTGTTCACATCTTGTGAGTGTTGCTCACTTGGCCAGGCAGTTGCTAGAGATCAGGCGAGGGCGAGTGTAACGAGGTATGACACAATTCACATCACCCGCAGCGGTGGTCAAGCTCTTTTGCCAGGAGGAAAATGGCCCGGAAGGAACAACTTCTAGTTCCAGTAGCAACTTGGTCATGCTAACGGCTGTCTCGTGAGTGTGGTCTCGAGCATGGTGCCTTTTGATCGAGCTCACGGCACACCCAGAGTGTGAATGTTTCGGGAATTTGCTGCTTTTCAGACAGATGTGGCTATTGATGGTACCCTTCAGAGAGCAAGTCATTCTAGGTGATTTGCACAAGAATGACAAGGCTCATCTTCAACACCCCAACCCGTGTGCAATGTGCTTCTACAAATACAAGTATAGCGTGTCCAGCCCATACAAACCCGAGACTCTTGACGAAGCACCTGGGGGTCCCCTCTGTCTGAAGCAGCAAGGTCAAGCTCCTGTACGACCTGCAGGTGGCTTGGGGTTGGAGGCGCTGAGTTGCAAGTTTGAGCTGCACTCTTTGCTTGGCTCCGTTCGGAACGGTCACATGTTCACCTTGTTACATAATATATAGCGCTTGTTCGCTGGTTTTGAGATGCTTTGAGCAATTGTTTCAGTTTGCAATGGCTTCTGGTCCTGGTTTTGCTTGGGGTTAGTGGTCAGCCCAATACGTTGAGAAGGACAGCAAGTCTACTTGATTCCTGGCGTGACATTTCCGGCAACATGGAATGGCTCAGATATGGAGATTCTTAGGCCAAAGATTGAATCTGATGATGCAGTCTGTTGACACAATAGATTCAATAGATAAGGTAGATGATGTAGAATATTGATTGCATCCTCAAAAAGTAAGGTGCTCCGAAAGTGGGATTGAGTGTGGTATCGTGAGACCACGTTTGCCTTCTAAGTTGCCTAAGTGACTGGTCTTGGGCTTGAGACTTGTACGATGTTTCTCTCAATAATTCTTGATCGAATTCCTGTTAGAGTTCTGTCAGTCGAGTTGTGATTGCTGCGATGTTGGCAACACTTACGCTGGAACACTAGCGACCACCTGGTGAACTGGCTTTGGCAGCAAGTTTGTTAAGACAAATGATTCACGGTCCATTGATTTTGCACCAAATCCTTTGCACAGTCTTCATCTTCTTCATAATCAGTGAACGTGTCAAGGTCGGCGTGGTTATGGCGGGAAAAGAAACAAACATCAGAATCCCTTCGTGTGCTAATGCACATCATCTAGTTCTTGATTGAGTTTGTTTTGGGCATTGTGCCCACATTGTGCAGGCTCGTGCTCCAACTTGGGCCAAGAAGAAAGCTGAACCAATGCTGGGCACCCAGCGTGGTGCCAACTGCTGCGCTCTGCGACGAGTGGCAAGAATAGACCAGCCAAGCAAACAAGTGCTATTGTTTTGTCCTGGTCAGAGAGCTTCAGCTTCGATTCGTGTGGTCTAGAATGTATGCACACAGTTCAAATCATGGTCCGCTACTCAACAATGGTTCATATTCGGGCTTTGTGGAATCTGAGGACCAAGTATATGTTCCTGGACGAAGGAAGTGAAAAAGGACATGTGGTGCTGTACGGGCTTCGCAATCAGACCTCTTTTCTCACGCTACATCATGGGGGCCACAATAGCATTTTTTGCTTTGTAGCTTGATGGACAATGGAATGTAGACTGTAGACGTAGATCCTAAATGTAGCTCTCAGTCGGGAAATGGACACCATTTCAGTCCAATGAGTGGAAGAGAGGTGTGTGGAACACGTGCATTTCGATGCTGACAGGAGTTGTGAAGGTCTATGCCCCTTGGAGGGCAGGAAGTTAGGAGTTTTGCTTGTCTCAAAACATTTCCGACGTTGCTGCAAAGTCTTGAATGACAATGCAACATATTGACTCAATATTGACCGTACTTGATGTCACGGTCCATGTTCTGTGATTGGAAAGTGCCCAACAGTAACAACGGTGTGACGTTTTAGTCTAGAAGTTCCTTCTCCTTCTGTGCTGAAACGAACAGGGCGAGCCCCACTTTCAAGGTGAAAGCTGAAGAGCTTGAGCTGGCATCCTTCAGTGATGTTTATGCCACCTTTGAGGTTGGATAGAATGAATTGAAAGCATCACTGGCAGCTGGCACACCACAAGCAATCATGTACAAGTAGACAGGAAAACATCAAGCAACAAATTGTAAGCAATAAGATATAAACAACAACTGAAGCGCATATATTGTGTGTGCGTGGCTGATGCACTTGAAAACTACACAAACAAAAAGACTGGTGCTGCGCCGCTGCTCGAATTCGTGAGGAGCAGAGTTTTTCGTTGCTGGTGCTTTCAGATGGCCGCGTCTGGCGGCTTCAAGGGCGGCTCTTTGGGCCTGTTCGAGCCAAGGACGCATCTCACAGTTGGAGAGTCAAAGGGAATTTCCCGTATGTAGTTTGAGTGACTAGTTTCAGACTCGTTCCTTCACATGATTGGACAAAATCCCCATGAAGTTGGGGAGGGGTTTGGCTGAACAGGGCAAATTCCATCCCTCAATCCACATTGGACAGAAGACGAAGGCAGGTGTGCAAAGGCCGCACAATGACATCAATGAAGGAGTGCAGCACTTCTTTGTCTCCATCTGGACACAAGGCCAAGAGTGCATTGTGTATTGAGTCTGGAGCAATGTGGATGGTGGTAGACAGACAGCCAATTTTTCGATCATGTCAAGACTGAACATAGATGAACGTCAAAATGCTTTGGTTGGAATAGACTTGAACAACATTTTCCAAGCTTTCTGCTGCAGCGAATGGGAGGTGGTCGTCACGCTGCAAAAGTCGGATACGAAACTGAAGTGGCATCGACTCATCGAGAGTACTGGCACTCAGCAAAGCAACCAAGCAACCGAAAGCAACGCAACATGGACCTGAGACGGATATGGCTGTATAGCTCGTAGGTCAGATGTGAGGACAGGGGTAGCTAAGATTATATAGCTAAGGTAGCTAGCAGCGAGCTTTGTCTTGAGATTACTTTCAACACTGAGGCACAACACAACAGGACATGACGAATGATTTCATTTGAGAGAGCTGTGATTTGGCAGTTTTTCTGCTTGACGCTGAAATGCTGAATTTGCCGGAGTGAAGGTAAAGCTGTGGTCTTCGAAAGATACAATCAAGGCATTCCATGAAGAATGTTTATTCTACAGTCCTGATGGACATCATTCTTGAGTCTTCACCCTTCACTTGCCTGCAACAGCTCACGCTGGCCAACCTTTGGCCAAATCTCCATGTATCACGAATGTGTCTAGTCTAGTTGCAGTGAAGATCACTAAATGGAGAAAAGTTGCGAGCCGTGGGATTATGCACCTTCTGTCGAATGTCCTCATGACACCTGGGCAATGGGTCAACAGAACCGACCCCTGTTTTGTTCAGAATGTTAATGGTACTTCCAGCAAGCACATCAAGGTAGTTTGGCATCAAGGTAGTTTTTGAGTGCTGCCATTTTCACCAGGCTTCCCTGTTCCGTTGGCCAACCCATTGTGCTATAGGTGTTCTATGTTTTGCACTTGAAACTAAACAGCCATTTTGGATCACTGGCCATTCGATCTCGGGATTCTTTTTTGGGTCCAAAGAGGTTTCGATCCACAGCGATATCCAGGCTGGTACACAGTACTCCATGGGAGAGCTGCTCCGCATGGTTGAGGATGAGGACAGGAAGAACAACGTGAAAATCTGAACACTTCTGATGTACACGAGGTAGGGAAGAAATGGAAGAAAGGTCTAATATAGTTTACCCTTGGGTTGGAGGCCATCGCTAGTAGCTTGGAGGCCATCGCTACTAGGTACTTCTCAATTGAACACCTTTGTAAACTAGAACATGTCGTCCATCTGAGCTAACACAGGCCTGGTCCAACAGTAGGTTTCTGAAGGATGGGCAAGGTGAGTGCAGTTGGAGGAAGGAGGGTGGAAAAGTGGGAAGCCCTGAAGCAGTCTGGATTTCTCGCTTCAATTTGCAGGATGACATCGATCCTCAGCAGCTGTGGAGTCTGGCCACAAATATGCACTTTGCCGGCAAAAACCAGATTGAACGACCCCTTGCCTTGTTTTGCTACGTAGATCTAGTGGATTTGGGAAAGACAATGGCGTAGCATGTCAAAGCCTTGAAGCAATATGGAGACAATGGCGTAGCACCATGTCAAAGCCTTGAAGCAATATGGATCTGTTCTAATCCATGCAGGATGTCATCCATCACCAGCCTGATGCGGTTGATTCCTTTCCCCATGGCCTACTAGCATGTGAAACAGGAAGAGTGAACGTGGCGGAGATTGGCACATGGCAAGGGCTCGGGAGCCTGCAAGTCAACAAGGAAGTTAGACAAACAAGTGAAACAAGTGTAAGAGGTCCTGCAAGTTGTTTGATTATGAAGACTAGAGATTCTCCTGTCTGACAATCGCTTCCAGCACTGTCGTTGTTGAGGTGGAAAATCTTACCTGGCGCTTGCGCAACATGTGGAGCAAGAATGGCCAGGAGAGTTCTTCAATCGCAAGTACTTAGCATGCAATCGAACTGTTTCACTCAGTCATTCCACATCAGACGACATTGTGCTAGTGTTTCAGGATTCACAGGATATATATAATATATAGATATATACTTGTGAACGAAGAGTCTCTTGATGTCAGTTGCTTGACCGTCGGTCGATCGTCATTTGAGCGTTTGTGAACCGCAGCCTTTTGGGTGAGGACCCACCCGAGGGGCGCATGTGCGCCGGAAAAGGGCGCGAGTGCCTGTGTGTTCTGCTGCCACTGTGTGTAAAACACAGTGGTAGCGGAGCACTGGCATGAGTGGATCCGTGGACGCTTCAGGCACAGAGGAATCTGTGTCACCGCTATGGCGGGACAAGGACCCTCCACCGTCGTTCGACGGTGACACCGAGAAGTTCAAGGGCTACCTGAGAGAGCTTAAAGTGTGGAGGCACGAGACCGATGTCCCGGCCAAGAAGCATGCTGTGAAGATGCTCCGTGCCTTGACAGGCCCGGCAAAGGCTGTGTGCAATGAGTTGGAAGTGGAGACGCTTCTTACAGAGGCAGGAGCCGAAGCCATTGTCACCAAGCTCAAAGACTACTATCAACCCCATCTGGAAACAGCGATGCCAAGAGCGTTCGAGCGTGCTGTTTACGGTGAGGCTCGTAGGAACAAAGAGAGCATTGGTGAGTTCATTGTTCGCCAAGACGCCCTGTTCCGTGAGTTGCGGGAAGAAGGATGACACCGTCCGTGGGTACATCATGTTTCGTCAGTCGAACCTGTCCCAAACACAAGAAGATCAGGTCACCACGTGGACTCAGGGCAAGTTTGATCGGGCATCCGTGATGGCTGCACTTCGCAAGTTGGAGAAGGTCCAACGAGAGCGCGGAGGAGGCAAGCACTATTTGACTGCCGATGACGAGGCCTTCGAGGAGTACGAATCCGAAGGTGAGGGTGATTACATCTACTTGGGAGAAGAAGACCTAGAGCAGGTGTTTGAGGAGGAGGAGCGGACTGAAGCTCTAGCGACCTATCAACAGGTCCGGCAGGCCATTCGTGAACAGCGGAATGGACGTGGCTACTTCCAGCCGAAGGGCGTTGGCAAGCAAGTCACTGGCAAGGCAAGCAAGGGCTCCAAGTCATGTCGCCGATTCGTTTTGGTGGCAAAGGCACCAAGGTTCACATCGACGTGCTCAAGCTTCGCGCGAAGTGCGCAAGATGCGGCCAAATCGGCCATTGGGCTCGTGAGTGTGTCAACAAGCCAGACGCCAAAGGGAAAAGCCGAGCTTCTGCAGATAGCACCAGTCCCAAGTCAGGGTTCTTCGAGACCGGGATCGTCGATGGTGAGTCCTCCACCTTTCAGGTCACCCTGGGCCAATGCTTAGCCAAGACAAGGGCTGGAAGACCAAGATCGCCGACTCCCTTTACTGGCATCACCACTAGTGGGTCTATGGGCATCATCGATACCGCAGCGCAAGGTGGGCTGATTGGTCTTCCAGCACTTCGTCGGTTGGAGGAGTCTTTGAAGGGGCATGGATTGAAGATTGTTTGGACGGGGAAGAAAGCCCAAGCCAAGGGCATCGGAGGGGACGCTCGTGTCTGCGGTGTGGTCGAGATCCCAGTCGGCATCGGTCGTGTGAACGGTGTGATCGAGGTCACAGTGGTCGAAGAAGAAGTTCCTTTCCTGCTCTCCATCCAGTTCCTCAAGCAGGTAGGGGCCATAGTTGACTTGCAAGAGAGTGCATTGATCCTCACCAAGTTTGACAAGAGTTGTCCTTTGCACCATATGCCCTCCGGTCATGTTGCAGTACATGTTTTGGCATTTCATGAAGCTGGGCGGCAACTCCCTGACATGGCTCTTGAACGAAGCCGCAAGGAAGATGCATTTCGTTTCTTTTCAGCCGTCTCCGCTCAGAACCATTCGTTCATGTGGAGGAAGTGCAACTCCGCAGGAGCCGGGCGCGATGGATCTCATCTCTCGTCTTCGCCAGCTCGAGAAGACTTCAGGCGAGGAATGGGAGAAGGTGTCCATGCAGGAACATCGTCGGTCGGAAAGAGCCATCCGCAATTGGCGAGTTCTCATGGAGCACGTGTCCGACCTGATGGAGCTCTGTGTGCTTGGTGTTCCACCATGCTCATCGTTTACCCGGCCAGCATCGGGATCCGAGCCTTTCTCATGTCTGGACGGAGCAAGCCCCATGCAGATCACCAAGGCCTCCATCTATGCCGAACTCATCCAACTTGGGGAGTTCCTGGGCCAAACAAGGTGCAAGACAGCGCCGGACATCCATATGAAGGCGTGCGCTCATCCACTGGCAGCTTTGGCAGGTGCTGGCAACCAAGCTCAGCGAGAAGTGTGGTGTCAGAAGTGTCATGCCCGATGGGGAGTAGACCCCAGGGTCATGGAGGACATTGCCAACAAGAAAGCGGTCATCCATGTGAATGGCAAGACGTTCAACCTCTCAGGCAAGTCCGGTTTGAGCCGGTACGACACTCCACCGCGGACACCAGTGAGGACTCCGTCAGCAAAGAAGGCCAGCAGGGGACCGATCACCCCGAGCTCTCCCTTGACGCCACCGTGGAATGCCGAACAGCTCAGCGCCCCGAAGACTCAGGGGATGAACTGCCATTCTCGAGTACCAGCAGTCCAGCTGATCGTGAAGAAAGACGGCCCGACCCAAGGACGACTGTTCTGGAAGTGCGCCAGGAGGATTTGCAACTTCTTCGAATGGGATCCTCAAGAGACTCAAGAGATTCAGCGAAAGCTGTTGCAGGAGCAAGAGGATGCCGAAGTGAAGCGCTGGGAGGCACAGGAGGAGGCCGAGCGTCAGCACATGATCCAGAAGACGATGGAGGTTGCAGAAACTCGACGCCAGGAGATCCTGGAGGCCACGCAAGCTCAGCACCAATGGGAGGTGGAGTCTCTCAAGAACCAGCTTCTGTGGATGTCAGCAGTGGCGGGCGAAGCTCGGATGGAGGAGGTGTTCAAGAATCCGGTGCTCCAGCAAGAGATGATGAACAAGGCCATGGCAATGAAGGAGGAGCTGCGAAACCAGGAGGTGCAAGCACAGTCCACGATGGATCAAAGCCAGGGATACCACAGTGGGCAGTAGAACTCAAGTCCGTGATGACGGACGAGGAGATGGAAGAGGCACTCGATGAAGACGCCCCTCGGGTGGTCAAGTTGGACGATGGAGCTCGCTGGGAACTTTGGAGCAAGAAGCAAATCGAGGAGAGCTTCCATGCGCACTATGAGCGGCAGGTCGCCGACGGATTTTGGGTGCCAGAGAACAACGGCACGTGGAGGTTTCACTACGGCATTTTGCCTGAATTCATCGAAGGGAAAGTGGCAGTGGGTTGGTTCGGGAACACGTACTTCCAAGATCAAGACTATGAGCCCGAAGAGGAGAAGCAATTGTCCCGTTCATCCCGCAAGGCATTGTCCTCACGCATGAAGAAGCTAGTGGTCGCTGAGGTGTTCTCGCCCCCACGGGTGAGTGAGTACGCTGAGAAGCATGGACATCTTGCAGGAGGAGCCTTCGATCTGGTGACTTGATCTGTCTCGCAAGGACGACAGACGCTGCTGGAGGGCACTGCGGCAGGCCGACCCTGACATCGTGGTGTTCTGTCCACCATGTGGACCTTTTTCCATTCTGCAGAGTCTCAACCAACGACATCAAGGGGAGAAGGCCATTCTGAGGTTGAATAAAGGGAAGGAGCACTTGCAGTTCGCGATGGAAGTGTTTCGATGGCAAACCTTGAGGAAGAGATTGGCGATCTTTGAGCACCCAGCCACCTCCAAGGCATGGCAAGAGGAGTGCGTTCAAGAGATGATGAACCTCCCAGGGGTCCAGAGAGTCCGCGCAGATCAATGCCAATATGGGCTGGCCAATGGGGAGCACACCGCAATCGCTTTGAGCCGCAGATGTCATGGAGAACACAAACACTTGCCCTTGATTGGAGGTATTGCTCGGCTGGCTCAGAAGTATCCCAACGGCCTATGTGCGGCGATGATGGACGGAGGAAAGAAAGACCTTCTTCAGCAGAAGATCTATGTGTGGGCCACCGGGCAGGAGGAGGAAAGCCAGAAGGCTGAAGAAGACATTGAGGAGTTGCTGAGAAGACATGAAGAGCAAGAGGAGAACAGAGACGCCAAAGAAGCTCAACGGGGTTTGATAGCAAGAGGACGATTGGCGCCTGATGAGCCCCAAAACAGACAAGAGGAGGAGGAGCCCGATCACGTGAGGGATCACCTTACGGCGGAGGACAAGAGAATCATCCACAAGCTGCATGTGAATCTCGGCCATCCCAACAACTATGAACTTAGCAAAGCACTTCGACTGGCCAGGGCTCGCAATGCTGTGTGGAGATATGTGAAGAATGGGTTCCAGTGCGATGTCTGTGAAAGGAAGAGGAAGCCGAAAAGTGCTCGACCAGCAGTTCTCCCGAAGACCTTTGAGCCATGCCGCACCGTTGGGTTAGACGTGGTGTTCTTTCCAGGCTTGGATGTGCGACAAGTGAGGCCAGTACTCAACATGGTAGACTGGGCCACCGGGTATCAGAGGCTCGAACCGCTGGAAAGCACCCAATCCAACCATGTCTGGGAGAAGTTCTACGGCACGTGGGTGAGAACGTTCAGTGTGCCTGAGGTGATAGTCACTGATCAAGGAAGAGAGTTCGGCAAGGAGCTGGCAGAGAAGATCGCGCAGGCAGGAGCTTTGCACCGAGTGATTGGAGCCAGGGCACCATGGCAACAAGGACGCACAGAGCGTCACGGAGGAGTGGCGAAGGAGGTCTTTGTGAAGCTTCGCGAAAGCATGCTGCCCACCAATGACAGTGAATGGCGCCTATGTGTTCACGCATTGGAGGCTGCAAAGAACCGACTGTACAACCGTTCAGGTTTCAGTCCCGCTCAACGCCAGTTTGGCTACAACATGCGATTGCCAGGCTCGCTTGGATCTGATGACATTTACTCTCCAGAACTGCTGACCCATTCCTCCACGGAT